GGGGGGGGAAGAAGAAAACGAAGCAGCAACATGATGGAAAGCCCAAAAAGGGCACTGGTGACATTTTTGACAACCTAAATCTCTAGCCACCAGAATGAATATCAATTAACAAATTTTCTTCCCCTGGTTGAAAAAACTATACGAGGGGCAATATTACAAAATTACTAAAAATACAACTCAGCCTAACTTCCTAATCTAAAAAGAGAAGTTTGAGTGACAAAAAATGGTGAGTACTAGAACAAAAAAACGATAAACGGAAGTGTAATGGACTTCGACGACTCCACTTTTATGGTTGAAAGACTCACCTCCACTTCTCCTGTAACTCTTTCCTCTCCGACCAAATCCACGTTACAAAGATTGCTATAACTAGGGCAACTATGGTAAGGAGAAGCAAAGCATAATTGAAATCCTCGGTAAGAGAGTCATACGTCTTTGAAGGGGCAAGCCGAGTGAAAAAGAGATCCACTCCATGAGCAAAGACAAGGGTGGTTGACTCTAGCTTTGCCGGTATAGTTATTATGCTTTTAAGGCCTTCCACTTTAAGAGCATGTGTAACATAAGCCTGCGGGAGCAACCATCAAATCAATATGAGAACCAAGGATTAATTGTCACCCATATGGAAAACAAGGCTCAGGTGATAATTTATGATATTCCTTTGTGCTTAACAGTTAGCTATTTTGAATTCTGCAAGTATGCAATTAGAAATTAGAATATCTTGAGGGCCAAATCAGCTTCCCTGACCAACATATGATGTAAGAGAGGTACTACTTGCCATGTCAAAGCTCACTCAAGTAGGATGCATTTCTTTGCCAACATCATAAAGGAGATAACTATGGTTTTGAATTCATATTCCTATTTTAAAAATTGTAAGATGCATGTATAAAACATTACCATGAAATAATTTAGAGAAATGGAAAGAACAGCACAAGTTCTGAACAAAGACATGGAAGTGTGTGTCTATTTTTTTGAGATGGAATGTGTCTCTCTATTTGATCAAAGAACTCTTACTATGAGAGCTTCACCAAGAACAGAGACATGTATAAAAATCTCTTTTGGATCAAAGAACTTCCATATTTTCAGCATATAAGATCTCCTATCTACACTATGACGACTTGTAAACATGTGACCCCATCTACCCTTAATCCTAGACAAAAAGCCAAGAAAGGAGTAATTGTGTGACCCAATCTAACATTTCAAAACGGTAGTGAGAGCTTCACCAAGACCAAACAAGTCCCAAGATCTACCGTGAAAAAGATACCAGATGTCATTCAAATGATATGATTAATTCTCTCTGAAAAGAAACCAACTCTTACTAGATTTCTACACGTTCTTGATGTACAATATGGTACTAAACATCAGTATTCCTGGTCTAGAGGTAGATTTAATATCAAATGCTTCAAAACACTTATTCATATACTCTAGGTTATGATGCAAAAATGCTCATTTTTGCTCATAGCGCAGAACACTACTAACTAGGATTGTTATGATGACTAAGACCTCTTGTGACTATGGCGTTCAATCTATTAAAACTCATCCTCAATGTAAAGAACTATTTCTTTATTCTTTTTTCTTTTGATAACAAGGTAGGCAAATTTTAGCAATTAAGTACCAAGATGGTACAAATCAAAAGTATGTAAAGGACAGTCTCTTTGATCAACAATGT